TTTTATATGATGATGCCAATTTTTCATTTGTTTGTCATTTATTTTACTTTTTCGTCATTTCTCTGCCTTTATCATTATTTTCCATACACACATCCATCATTTTGGGGTTTTGTTTCAATCACAATGTTCATCTTTCTTTCATATCAAATGAACATTTATTATTATTGTTTCCGTTTTGATGCAATGAAATTTTTTTTTATTAATATCAAATATTTTTAATCTTTTGAAAAATTATCATTTTTGTTGTTGTTGTTGTTGTAGTTTTCTATAAATAAAATACTATACAATGACAACAGGCTTTTGATGATTTCTTCATGGCCATTATGATAATGGTTTCTTTACGAGCCTAAACAATACAAAGATTACTCGCTGAATCTATAATAATTATTATTCATTATCATTGGTGAATGGATAATAAGATTTTTCATTGTATTCAAGGTTTTATCCATGTCTTCATCCTGTTTTTATTTTTTTCTCTTACAAGACATTTGACCCGTGTGTTTGTTTATTTATGTATATTTTTTTATAATGATTTCAACCATGAATAAAAACCCTATTATACACACGCACAATCATAAATGTCATTCAACGATAATTTTTTTTTAATTCTCTCTTTCTCTATTTCTGCAATTTTAAATTATTTGAGCTTGTTTTTTAATGGCGCCCATTTTTTCATCGCTTCTCTTCTTTCTTTCTTTCTTTATGGTATTAGTTTTGTAGCCTATTCTATGTGTGACAGCTTTTGATGATGATGATGATGATGCCCTCCCTCATCATCACTGAACGCTGCACACATATATTCTTTTTTCTATTCACTTCTTCATCTAGCTATGATTGGATTCTACATTTTTCATATTTTTTTATTTTTTTTGGTTTGATGATTGGTTGGTTGGTTTGTTGTTGATGATGGAGCCAACATTCATTCATTTGAACTTAAACTAATGCCCGCCTGTTTTTTTTTCGTCTTACCATACTTTTCAGGTTGTATGTGTTTGTATACTATTACATAATTCATATTAAAACTCATACCATTCATTGTAGTGGTAGCACACACTTACGCCATTTTATGTATTTTTTTTTGGCGTCATAGGGCCACACAAAAGCATATATATAGAATATTAAATCTGTATAGTTATGGTTATAAATATTTCTTAACTTATAAAAAAGTTATGATCATCATCATCATCACTTTTTTTTGCCCATCTAATAAATAAGGCGGAGCAAAGGGCAAATCTTATTTGAAATGGAATTTTTTTCTTTCTTATATCTTTTTTATATTATACATCGAATATTCTTTTGGTTATTGACAACATTCACAGCCCAATGAAAGATACCACTTCCTTTTCTTCTTCATAGTGTAATTTTTTTTTCTTTCGGTTACTTTATTGAAATTATTATGAACAAATACTCAAATAACACACAAGTAATATATATAATAATAATTTTTTTCATATATAATAATTTTTATGAGTGCTTTATGAAAACCAGCCACTCATAATTGGAGCAGACTCTGCTCTGGAATACCGGAACTTTGGATTTCAATTCAATCGACCACAGTTAGTTAGACTAAACTAAAGAAATGGGAAAAAAAATAAATGAAAAAAAAACACCATCCTTTTGGACTATTGACATTTATATTATATAGTAAACTCATACGCATACACGAAACATATTTAATATCAAAATGAAATAAAATAAAAATAAAATTACGAAAATCACGGTTCTGTTACTGCTGATGCTGGTGTAAATGGAGGGCCTATGATAAGCACCTGACAGGCGCTGCACTTTCTTGTCATATACAAAAAAGTTTTAGGTTTTTCTATCACATACATACACACACACACAAACGAAACTTAACCAACCAAATTTTGAGTTTTTTCAATTTTTTTCCTCTTCTTTTTCCCCACACTTTTTTTTCTTATATATCAAGATAATATTAATAAAATTACTACAGTTATTGATGCATAACATTTATTCATTCATTATATTCTAATCTTGAATTTTCTTTCAAATATTATTATTATATGCCCTGTAACATCACATACATAATCAGTGATCGTAGGCTATGTAAACTTTATTCTAAGCAAATTCAAATTTTTTTTTCTCATTCTCGTCAACTTGATGTATAGTGTGTGTGTGTGTGTGTTTATGTGCATTTCGTATCATGTTTTCGTTTGAATTTATTATATTTGTCCTATGGAATGACTTGAAAACGAAAAAATTTAATAACAAAAATAAATGAAGAATTTTTTTAATATTTGATTTTTTTTCATCGAAAAAACTTAAGATGTTTGAATAGAATGAGAAATGATAATAATATTAATATTTTTCTTTTGAAAGTCGATTGAATGTCAATCTAATCGAATCTAGAAAAAACTGCCTCCTACCGTTGACACATATCGTATGTTTTCCATTTTCGTTTATTATTGAGTGATATTTTTTTTGAAAACGTTAACAAATGACAAATGTATGTGTTGCTGATTTAAAAAATCTTCACCTAGGAATCTTTTGTACTATTTTACGATGAAAATCAACGTTTTTCATGAGTAAATTTTAATTTTTTTCTATTCAAGTTACAGTTATATCTTGTATATCGATACGAATCCAAATTTAGTATGGTTAATCAAATAAACAAAATAAATTATTCATATATTGATGTTTTTCCACGTATTGTACATCGATATATCTGAATTATTTATGTATTTGATATTTTCTTACAAATAATAACGGTACAATAGTGAATCAGAATTTTTTGTGTGTGTGTGTGTCAATGCACTTAAAATATGAATATGGAACAAACAAAATGAGAATTTATTCCTTCATAATCCGAAAAAATTTATTAAATTTTTATTTTGAAATTTTTGAGGAATAAATTGGACATTACAATAATATTTATTCCATTTTTTTTTGTATGCAAAACTTTCACTATTGCTTTGTATGTCCATTATAGAAAGAATTTTTTCTTCTCTTTTTTCCAACATTGTTGATTATTCCCGTTTATTTTATAGGCAATAATGAGGATAATAATAATCATATATATAGCTTTTTATTTTGCTAATGAACAAACATGATGATGATGATGATGATAATGATGATAGAATTCATAGAAATAGATTTTTTTGTTAATTAGTGTTTTTGTTGTTGAATTCACAATCATCATTTGCGTAATCATCATCATCATGAGTAATGGTATTAAATCAAAACTATTTTTTATCTAAAATCATCAAATGTGATACGCATGTCATTTTGAATGAATATTCATGTTTTGATAGGCCAATGGCTAAACAGTAGTAGTAGTAGTATCCGATTAAGGTAGCTTCCAATAATCGATTTGATATATTCTCAATGCTCATTTTATATATAGATTGATAAATGACGATCTAGATCTAGATCTAGTTTGTTAATTCAAGTGTGATTTATGCGAAAATCATATGGTTCATACATTTATTTATTTATGCAATATATATGCATTTCAATGAACATCCTGAGCCAAAATCATCATCATCTCATCATCATTATAATTGTTATCTTTATTTCCAAGGGGTTTTTTTAGCTTTATTTTTCTTATTCAAGCAATATTAATCCTCATACCCTCATGAGAGAAAATGATTAAAATTACATATATATTCTCGTGAGTGATGATTCAAGCTCTCATTTTCACCCAACAACAACAACGATGATGATGATGATGATGTTGATGCAAAAAGAAAAGAAAAACAATAAGAAAAACGAACGGTTTCAAGTTATATATATGGTGGCCATTGATATATAGAAAGAATGTCAAGTGATTAAAATCAGCTAAATAATTTCTTTCTCCATCTCAATCTTTTCATGGTCCTTACATACTCACAAATATATACAGGGTACCACCAGCAATTCATCCACATTATACAGCAATATCAAGTCAGAAAAAAATACTGAGCTTTTTTTCAATGAAAATCATTTTAATTAAAGTGATTCTAATTAAATATTGTACATATCCATACATTTCAGTGAATGAATGATGACATGATGAATGTATAAGCAAGTAAGGGAAACTGTCATATCATCATGATATAGTTTAATATGACAAACAAGTATAGAAAATCAACCCATGTCACTTTTTGGGATAATCCATTATATTAATTATATATCATTCATAGGCACCTTTTAAAAAAGTAATTTTTCTATACACCAAATTTGATCCAGGATTTTCTTTTATTTCATTCATTAATTATTTTCATTATTATAATCATCATGATTGTCCAATGTTTCAAACGTTACACACACACACACATCATATAAGCCTTGGATTTTATTTCCACCAACAATCGTTCAATGCATTATAGGTATTAAAGAAAAATATATATAAACTTATATCAAAATGCAACCCTTTTTTCATTATTCCACATTGAATATTGTCTAATTTCTATATACGATAAATTAGAAAGATTCCACTTTATTTTTCTCCATTCTTTTTTTCTCATTTATTGAGATTAGTACTATTTAACATCTTAATAGTAACTAGAAAGAGAGAGAGAAGAAGGTATAACTGATGATGACGAATTTGGAAAAAACTTGAAACACTAATTTGATGTATTTTAACCGATTTTAGCTCAACTATTAATTCTACTATCATCATCTTCATTAAACTAGATTGTATTCAAATAGACAGACCAATTTACAGTTGTCTTTTTTTTAAAAAAATTTGTTTTTCTACTTTCTTGTTGTTGATTGCTCGTTAATACCGATTCTGTTCGATTGAAAGTTTTTATGTATTTTTTCCTATGTATGCTTACGTGTTTATGTTTTTGATGTTCAGCTCTTATTTATTCAATGAGAACAAATCCGTTGTTGTCTTCGATCAATTTTATAGAATCTTAGTTGATTTAGCAAGAGATATTTTTATAAATTTTTCCACTAACTTAAAAAAACAGGTTTATGGTTGTAATTTGCATTGTATTTGATTGGATTTTTGTCTCATTTATTGATAATTTGTTTATATTTTTTGTTTCAACCAGTTCCTCTATTGTCAACGACAATGAAATCTCATATAGCACCGACCGGAAAGAATTTATGCGATAAATGCGGTGGTTCATATGCTACATTGGCAGCATTGATTAGTCATAAAAAATCATGCAAAAGTAAGAAAAAATTACCTTCAACAACAACGACAACGACGGCAAGAACAATTATTGATCATCATGGATCATCATCGTCGTCGTCGGTTTCACGTAACAACATCAGCAGCAACAATAATAATAATAACAATACCGGTGATGATAAATTACTATTAAATGACACTGGTTTACATGATTCGGATACAACATCACTCTTTCAACATCATCCTCGTCATCATTCACATCCGCATCCACAATTACTTCCTCATCATACACATCCCTTACTTCAACATCAGCATCAATCATTATCGGATGAGCAGCAACAGAATCTAAATAAAATAATGGCAATCGAAAGTTTGGCAGCTGCGGCTGCTGCTGCTGTCGCCATGGAAAACTCATCCACAGTTAATCAACAACGAGCCACAAGCCCATTGAACGTATTATCAGGACATTGGCCAATCGCTAATGAATTGATGATGACATCACCGATTCCATCAACGACAACAACGGCACCATCATCCTTTGCTACTTCAATGCCTGATATGAATGCTTTTTTAGAATCATTAACACCGTTATTTACCGGTGGACCAATTCCATCATCACAATCAGAACGGAAATGATTCATCATCGACCAGGGAACAACAACAACAACAAGCAGCTTTGTTTACACAACAGATGATGTTATTTCATATGTTACAACAAATGCATCAACTTCAACAACAACAACATCCAAGCACGTCATCACCGATTCCACCATTTCCATTGATTGCTGCTGCGGCTGCAGCACAACATCAGTCCTCACAATCACAATCAACATTACCACCACCACCATCATCATCATCATCATTAACTATGAATAATAATCGGTCAGTCTCATCAGATCAATTAAATGATAATGATATTCAAAAGAAAAAATCACCGGTTCATAATTATCATCATAATTCGAAACACATATCTCGTACATCATCATCATCAAATCAAAATTTAATAAAAAAAGATACTCATATCGAATCATCATCAACGACGATAGAGCCTAAAACTAAAGTACCAACATTAGATCAAGATTATGATGAAAAAAGTGATCTCGATGATAGTACACATCGACAATGTCAGCCATCATCTTCATCATCACCCAAAAGTGATCGTGAAAGTGAATCGATTACAAATTCAAATCCAACCCGTAAACTCATTTCATCGTTACTTGATCTAAAGGATACGAATCCGGATGCACCATTACCTCCAATGATGAGCCCACCTAAAGTTGATTCATCTGAACCAGCATCATTTAACGAGCCAAATACATTGGAATTGTTGCAAAAACATACCGAACAAGCATTACAGAATACAATGTCTGGCGGTTCATTTCTTCTGAATGGTCTTTCAACCACAGATAATAATGAACTACTTAATTTTCGTAAAGGCAAAGATGGTAAAGAAGATCCGGCCAATAGACATCGATGTAAATTTTGTGGAAAAGTTTTCGGTAGTGATTCAGCATTACAAATACATATTCGATCACATACTGGTGAACGTCCATTTAAGTGTAATGTTTGTGGCAATCGCTTTACGACCAAAGGAAATTTAAAAGTTCATTTTCAACGTCATAAAGCTAAATATCCACATGTAAAGATGAATCCTCATCCGGTACCTGAACATTTGGATAAATTTCATCCACCATTGGAACCACCATCAAATTCCCAATCACCACCACCACCACCGCCACCACCTCCCACATCATCATCCTCATATTCACAATCAAACACTTTACACATTCCAGCGATATTCAGCTCTACATTGATTCCATATGCAAATGATGATGCCATTATTAATAAATCCTCAAATAATAGTGATAAAGCTAAATCAAAACCAAAAAGTCTATTTGACTTTGCGAATTTCTATAAAAATGGCAATGAATCCCGTGTGAATGATAATGATGTTGATGATGATGGTAATAATATTGACGATGATGATGATGATGATGATGATGATGATGATGATGATGTTGTTGATGATGATGGTAATAATATTGACGATGATGATGCTGATGACGACAATAATGACGATGATAATGATATTAAAGATTCCATCAAAAGTGACCATTCCGATATTAGTAGTCATCATTCGGATGATGAAAAACAGGAAGAACAATCAAAACAAAATAAAAAGAATCAAAAATGTAAATCAGATCAAACAACATTTGATAGTTCGGATACAGATCTGGATACAGATGATGGCGACAGCCAACGACGTGAACCATCATCTGAAAATGATAAAAATAAAAAGAAAAAAAGCAAAGATCATCATGAAAATGATAATAGTGAAAATAATAATCAAGATAATAATGAACCAAATAATGAATCAATGAAAATAGAAGATGAAAATAGTAGAGGTGAAATTGATGATCATCATGATGTGAATGAAATCGATGATATGGATGATCTGAATGATGATGATGATGATGAATTGTATGAAGATGAATTTGGCATTCCATATGGTAAGTTTATAGATTTATTTTTTGAATTTATCCATTCATTCATTATGGCCATAGGTTTAATATCATCGAAAACTTCATTGCAAGGATTAATGGGATTACCATTGAACATGGATGCAAATGGATTTTCCAATTCGGTCTCTTTACCTGCTTCATTGGCTGCAAATAATTCATCCGTCGCGCAATTTCCACGAATGTCTGACAGTATGAGCGAATCTGATCTAGTAGAAGAAGCTTCTAAAGATCCGATTTTATATCAAAATCTATTACCTAAACCAGGTAGTACTGATAGCACATGGGAAACATTGATGGAAGTGCAGAAAGCATCGGAAACGGTTAAATTACAACAATTGGTTGATAATATCGAACATAAACTACAAGATCCCAATCAATGTATTATTTGTCAACGTGTGTTGAGCTGTAAAAGTGCATTACAAATGCATTATCGTACACATACTGGTGAAAGACCATTCAAATGTAAGATTTGTGGAAGAGCATTCACTACCAAAGGAAATCTTAAAACACATATGGGCGTACATCGAGTTAAACCTCCATTGCGTATGCTTCATCAATGTCCTATTTGTCATAAACAATTCACCAATGCCCTGGTTCGTATTTACACTTTGGATTTTTTCTATCAATCTAAAATCAATTTATGAATTTCTTAGGTTTTACAGCAACATATTCGCTTGCATTCTATCGACCCGAACGGATCAAATGCTCCAGACATTACGCCTGAAATGTTGAATGAATTAAAAAATAGCCATATGAATTTTCCTCGTTCATTTTTACCTGTTGGTTTCAATGGTCCATTTCCATCACTACCACCAGGAGCCGCACCTGGTTTATTTTCCCCTAATTTTCTTTCGGAGATGGCAGCTAAACATTTAAATCAAAATTCTAATTCCTTACCGCTTCATCTTTTTAATGCTGCTAATTTTCCTCGAATTTCATCAAATGAATGTTCCAATGTCGATCTGGCAGAAAAAGATGATGATTTGGCTACAACTGATTCAGATACATCAAAAGACAAAAGAAAAACCGATACTGATGACGATAGACCAAACAAAGTCTCGACAACCGTAGATGATGTTCGATCTATCAGTGACACTACTGAAATTGAAGAGGAACCACTTGTATCACCAATAAAAAAGAAAAAAATTGATGACAAAGAAAAGAAAAATGAGGAGAATACGTTGAGTGCTTTGGAACATCATGTTATAAAATCAACTGCAGAAATAAGCCCACAATCACACCGATATCATTCGAGCAAAAATGGACATAAGATTACACACGATTCAACTCCCACGACTGATATCAATGATGAGCAATCATCTAAAACGAACGATGACCCAACCAACCCATATCCAACGACACCGTTCGCTGGTTTGCCTTATCATCCTACAGGAAGGCCAAACACTACTTGTCGAATTTGTTTGAAAACGTTTGCTTGTTTCAGCGCATTGGAAATTCATTATCGTTCTCATACAAAAGAAAGGTAGGTTAGATTTTCAATCTACCTTCAAATAAATATCAATAAAAAAAAATTTCAATATGTTTGTCTGAAAAAGGCCATTCAAATGTGAAGTTTGTGATCGTGGATTCTCTACGAAAGGAAATATGAAACAACATATGTTAACACATAAAATCCGTGATTTACCTCAAGAATTATATTCAACAATATCACCATCCGATAATACAACATTAGGAAATTTTCTTACCAGTAATAGCATAACCAAAATAATTGGCAAACAAATGAATATTCAACATCATCAAAACAATGTGTCTACATCTTCAAATAATTCAAATAGCAGTAGCCGTGTGGCAAGTCCACATACGCCTAATGGTAATTCAATGGATTCAGATAAATTTCGTAATACTGAATCACCTGCCACCGAATCGAGTAATAACACAACACCTCGTTCATCATCATCATCATCGAATAAACACATGTGTAACATTTGTAATAAACCATTTTCTAGTGGTTCGGCTTTACAGGTAATTTCAAGACATTTATTTTTTTTTATTGAAAATCTAAATATTATATTTGTAAATAGATTCATATGAGGACACATACCGGTGACAAACCTTTCAAATGCCAAGTTTGTGGACGAGCATTTACGACTAAAGGAAATCTAAAGGTAATTTTTATTTTATTTTGAAAATCTTCATAATGGTCATCGATTATTCATACAAATCCAATTCTTTAGGTTCATATGGGTACACATATCTATACTCATAGTAATCCATCAAGACGTGGTCGACGAATGTCGATCGATCTACCGAATTTGAAATTATGTGAAAATATTGTCCAAAATAATTCTTCATCAATGGCCGAACATTATCAACGAAAAAAATCGACTGAAATTCCATCATCTCTACCACCAGTATCAACAGCTGCATCAACAGCAACACCTCCATCACTAACGATGGCTATTTCTCCAACTGAAATGACCACCTCGAGTAATCACCAGAATCACGATCCCGATCTCTTCCTTAGATTTTTAAATCCTCATTTTCTTAACTGTAAGTTTTTTCATTATTACGAATCAAATTTAATCTTAATGTTTTAATATAGCCGCAGCTAATCCCGAAGCAAGTCAATTGGCATTACAGCAAATGATGTTGATGAAAATGATGTCAAGTCAACATCAACATCAACAACAACAACAACAACGGTCTCCATCGACACAGATTCCTGTAGAATTGGCTGAAAACTCTGATAAAATACTTTTAAATCACAGTGGAAAAAATGATGAAGGTAATAATGAAAACAAAAGCTATGGCAATGAATCTAAAGAACTGGTCTGCGAACCGGAAATCGATCTCAATAATGATAATACTAGTCGAATTAATAATTCCACATTTAATCAACGAGTTGATAATGAAAACGAAAAAGCTGATGATGAAGATGAAATGGAAAACCATTCATTTCGTTCCGATCAGGCAATTGATGATTGGTCAAATAAACCATTGAAATGTACTTTATGTAGCCAGGTATGTCATTCACCAACGGAATTTGAGGAACATATCAAAGCGCATTTACATGCTGCTGCTGTTGCTGCCAATTCAATGTCGGCTACAATTAAAACCACTGCTGATGTTGCTTCGTGATATCAACTATGGCGAGTAAATAGAATTAATCAGAGGCCACTCTACTTCATTTTCTTAATAGGCCTATTTCTAATGAATAAGGTCAATGGTCTCATCATTGTATTATTGTTTATACATTTCAATTTCTTCAAAGTGACACAAAAATCTGATTAAATTCAACCAAACATAGAGACTGTCAATAAATTCCTTTATCAATCAATTCATAAATAATTGAAAATTCTTCTGGTTTGAAAATATTGGACGTAATTTTCTCTACAACATGTTTTTAATTTATTGATGTATTCATCATATTCTCGATGCTCATAATCATCATCATCATCCGCATAAAATTCATATATAGAACATTTACAGTGATAAATTCATCACTGGAAAATATTTATTCCCCATTATTTGATAATTATTCAAATGTCTTTAGACATTACAGGCAATCTCAAATACCAAAATTCATTCAATCATTCATCAACGTCAGGGCTCCTCTTATCAATCATCATTAAATTATAAACATGAAATACAATTACACTATCTATCCATTGATATTTGATATATGAACATTATTTGTCACCTGCCTCTTTTGCCCAAACATAAATGGAACGAATTTGTATAGGATCATCATCATTTATTAATAATTTCGAATTTATGTAATTCTCACTTTCTCGCTTATTTGGATCTCTATCTCTCTCTCTCTCCTCTCATTCATTTTATGTAAAAATCCTATTCCATTATACAACAACTGGAATCTTCTGGAACACCGACACACCCATCTCTACAAGTATTACCTTACATTTTTATTCCTCGAATACACTCCCATTTGCAATATTACAAATCTTTTTCTTTTGTTTTTTAGTAAATTTATTATTATTATATGATTTCAAATTAATTATTAGCGGATTAAAATAACACATTCATCATTTGATCATTTACAAACACACAAAAAATTCCTATTGTATATCTGATACGATAATAAAATTAAATGAAAAAAAAATATTTGTGGTTAACTTAAAAAGTTGAAGTGATTTTTTCTATAAGCCATACTATATTGTCTTCGTTTGATGACAATGGGATCGAATATATTATATTTCATTGATATATTTCGTATAAAACATTCATTTGAATATAATGAGTATTGCAGTACTTCTTTGTCATAAATTGCTGCTCAGTTATTTGGATCTAAATTGAAAAATCAAAGATGAATTATTCACACCACCAAACGGGAACGTTGATGATACTGTTGTTGGTACTCCAGATTATGATGAAGATTGTGTTTGTACTTATGATAGATTTGCAGAAAATGTAAATTTGTTCGGCTGCGATGATGTTGATGTATTTGAAACATTGAAATTAAAACCATTATTACTGCTCGGATTAATGTTGGTTGATGTAAAATCGAATCCCGTATTATTTCCACTTGATGGTGTTGGTTTTAACATCGATGATGATCCGATAGCAAACATGTTCGATGAACTTTTGGCCAATGAATTTTGAAACAATGTATTATTCCTAGCATTATTATTGTTTTCGTTATTATTATTGGCTGTTTGCGATGTAAATGAGAAGATTTTCGACACTGAAGGGCTTGCAAAATTGAATCCTGCTGTTGTCGATGATGGTGGCTGAATCGATTTATTCGATGTGGGTGTATTAAATGAAAATGCCGATGTATTCATCTGCTGTTGTTGTTGTTGTTGTTGATTATTATTATTTATGCCAAAATTAAATTTACCAATCGGTGTTGATGATGTTCCATAATTGAACATTGTATTCACACTAGACATTGTCGATGATGTGGATGGTATTGAAACTAACATAGGATTTGTCGTTATGGCAGGCCGTTGTGCATTATGAGATGATTGATTTAATGTCGAAAATTGAAATGTTGAATTCGAAAACGACAAAGACGGTGGAACCACATTTGTAGTCGATGATGGCATAAATGATGAGACCATTGAATTCTGGCCTGTTTTTCCACCAAAATTAAATATCGAAGATGAATTGTTAACATTGCGAATGGTCATATTATTATCAGTATTACTTATGATAACCGGTGATGGTTTATTTTCGTTATCATTAGATGAGGGACTGATTGTACTTTTGGACTGATTCGATGATTGCATTGAACCAAATATCGATGAATTGACATTCGTTTGGCTAAGAGTGCCGGGATTTGAAGTTTCAGCTGTAAATGTCAGCGGTTTACTTGGTATATTTACAGCAACATTTGATGTACTGGTTGGCGTATTAATCGGAGATGATTTGAATGTAAATGTTGAACTAGTCAAATTATCAGATAGAGTAGTTGAAGGCAAAGCAAAAGTTGTCGTATTTGTTGAATTTGTTACATTGAATTGGCTAGATGATACTGGGGCAGTTGTCGTAGCTGATACATTCGATAAATTCGATTGAAATGTTGAACTGCCAAATGAGAAATTAGTTGCATTACTTTCATTTGTTTTGGCTTTAACTTCTGACGATGAGTCCGTTGCAATCGATGATTTATTCGTGCTACCTGAATCAGAATCGGTTACGCCAAATTTAAATCCTGATGATGATTTGGTATCATTTGGCTTGGTAACCGCCGGTAAAATTATTGAAAATGAAACATTCGCATCATTTTTTAAAGATTTAATATCTGTAGCCGAAGTGGTTGTTGTTACCGCTGTTGAAAATGACGGAATTGATGGTTTAGTTGCTGTGGTTAAACTGAACTTAAGTAAATTATTTGGAATAATTGGAACATTTCGCAAAAGTTCATTACCTGCAATCGCAGATAAATCGTTAGATGTTTTTTCCGGTTCAACTGAGCTTTTCAATGCTTCAATAGTAGTTGTTATCGTTGAATTAGTTAATGGTTCAATTGGTTGAAATGCAGAAGATGTTGATGTTAATAATTGCTTTGATGTATTTGATGTTTGATCAGAATTATCATCCAATTCTTGATTTGCTTGTTGTAATGCTGCCATAAAACGATTTAAGCGGTTTTTATTCTTTTTCTTATCATGTTCATGATCTTTGATTGAGAATACATAAGTTGGTATCGGATATAAACGTTCATCATTGTTTGGAACAAAATTTTTTACCGTTTCGGTTACAGCCGATGATTCAACAGCATCATCATCTTCTGAATTCAATTCAATTACAGGATCTGGTTCTTTAGTGTCATCACTTTCAATTTCAATTTCAGTAGTCAATATGTCATCACTGTTACTTTCTTCCCCGTCATCATCATCCAGAATGATGATCTTTTTAGAATCTGTATTTTTCTTGTCACTGATTTCATTTGCAGAATCGGCCACGGCAGAAAATACACTAATTGAAGACGGTTTCACTTGTGATGTCATTAATTCCAATTCTTCAATATGACTTAGTTTTTTCGCTTTACGCATAACATTATTATTTGATAATGATGAAAATTGTGTTTCAGGTGAAAATTTTCGTTTGTTGACAGCCAATTGATTTTGTAAGTTAGAATTAGTTGAACTGTATGAACTTAATATTTCATTGTTACGAACACGTTTCTTAGGTATTATAAATTGATTTTCATTATCCAAAACATTTGTACTTCGTTTTAATGTTTTATCATTTTTATTCGTGCTCGTTATTGATGATTGTGTTGGTGAAACTCGAGAATCGGGTTCTATATTATCATCTTCATCCACTTCTATATCAGAATCATCTTCACGATTTCGAGATTTCTTACTCAACATATTTTCATGATCATCCACGAAAATCATCGGTCGTTTTTTGTTGTTAGAAGTACCCCAATTTGTAACCCGTATGGGCGATGTTTCATTTGTATTCGAAACAATATCTAAATGCTCATTCATTGATTCTCCCGCATTATGACCAGATTTCATCGAATCGTCATTGTGTTCAGATTTTACAATAGGCAATCGGTTAGTAAAAGTGTTTGGTGATATAGCTCCAGTTGGGAATGGTGATAGTTTCACCGTAAACTGTCTGGTGGCTTTAGGTTTTTCATTTTTGATACTGTTACCACTTTTGTGTGGCACATATCCATAAATTGAATTCGGAGAAATATAATTCAATTGTGAATTTCTGAATCGAAAACGATTACGAATGAGATTATCATCAACTTGTGCTGAAATGCCAATTCCTGAAAAACTAGCATTGCAAGGTGAAGAAACTAGTGAATCTGAAAGAATATTTAATAATTTTTAAAAAGGGCATTTTATAATTTTATTGTCATTACCATTAAATGGTGATGAATTCATACTGTTTTGATTTGATTGACGGACGATGGTCGTCTTGAAGCATCTTGTTCGGCAACGATTTTTTTGTGAATAATAATGTTGATAATAATATGATACAATTGTAACAATAATAAATATACACAAGGCAAATGCAATGAAAACAAACATTTTTGCGACAATCAAAATATTTTAATTTTTATGAATGGATTTATAGGAATTTTCAGAAAATTGGCTCAAAAATTACCAGGATTTTTCGCGAAGCTTCATCAAGCTATTCATTTTTTTGACGCGAAAAGAAAAACATGCTTTGAAGCCTGTTAAGTTGAAATGGTCGCCTAGGTCAAAAAAGACGCGCGCGCTTTTTTTATGTCAACAAATTCATACGATGCAAACAATTTTTCTGATACTTTTGTATGCGTTCTTCTGTCAAATCTTGAATCAATTTGATTCGAAAATTCCACCACTTTTTAGCAAGTAAATACGATACTCTTATTTTCAATTATTTTATTCGATAAACAAAGTGATAATTACGAACAAAATTATGTCATTACTTTATTCGGTAATGATGAACCAATTGATTAAGTTTTCAGGTTAAAATGATGAACATAAATAAAATGACAATATTATGATTGCCAAAACAAAAGGACACTTGTTGATTCATGAAAAATCTAATTCGATAGATGAAAAAACCAAAAGAACAATCATACTCTACCATAGTATATTCTGTGATGTTTTCAATGATCTAAATTTAAGTATATTTCTTCATATAGCGACTTTCACTCATTCATTATTCATCAGTTTTGTATCTATGCTATTTTTTCGGATTCCATGATGATGATGATGATGATGATGATGATGATGATGATGATGATGATGATGGACAATAGAAATGAAAATCGAATGAAAAAGCCTTTCAAATAAAATTTGAACTGAATCCAATTTTCTCTTTTTTTCTTATATCTTGCTGACTTTTGACAGAAAATTATTCAACAACAATGTAGAAAAAGATCAGATTCGACTTAGACTTCAACTGTGTTGTGTGTGTTTGTGTGTATGTGTAATTAAAATCAAATCAACAACAACAACAAGAATGGCACAAAGATCATCATTGTTGTTTAGTTGTTCAACAATGATGATGGCCATAGGTTAGACTTAAAAATAACTTTCGCTCAAATAAAATACATGACATCGAAAAAATTTCATCTCAGCTCAGTCCATCATTATCATGACCGAGTTTGATTTATATAAAAAAAAAGAAAAAAATTAAATCTAAATCAAGTTAATCATCATGAAAAACAGGACGAATGAATCCATCCAGTGAGATAACCGTATCGAACCGATAAACGAACAAACATTCGAATATAAAACGGTATAAATGGAATTCATTCGAATTCATTATTATTGACAAAGAAACACAACTAAACTGCAGGTTAAAATAAACTCTTTATGGTGGTGATAACCATATAAACATAGAAAATCAACAATATTATCATCAATTGAATCAAATCAACAATAATGATGACCAATATTTTTTACCTAAATCAAAATAGACAATCAATTTTTTCTTTTCATCATATTCGAAATGACTGCTGTCATCATTCATTGTTTGTTCAACATCACTGCCATAGTGTTTCATCATAATTAATTCTAATCATAATAATTATCAGCCAACAACAAAGTTAATTAATTTCATACAACAAATATGATTGTAATTATCATTTAATTCAGTGCAAATACTTGTTGTTGTTGTTAATTTTTTTTCTGTATACCGGAACTAAATTTTTCTTGTATCGATCGATCTAGAAATCTTCATAGATTCAATTTTCAATCTTGTTGTTTCAACTAACTAAACAAATAAATAAAAAAAAACTTGTAGAAGGTGATTAGAATCTATGTTCGCCATAGATAATAATGTAATGTAATAATCGAATATTTCATCACGCGTGATTGCAATTGAATGAGAGAGAAAAAAAACGAAAAAATTTAATCTATTACTTGAAATATATTGGATCGAATATATAGAGGAAAAAATCATTTCATCACATCACGACGTTAAATAAAAAAAAAAATCAATTTTTTTTCCCAGAAACTACCATCATTATCAACCGGCAAAACAATATTGGAACAATTGCAAGAAAAAAAAAAATTTCAACGAAAAAAACATTTTATTTGTGAGATAAAATTACAATTTTTCCATTTTAATACAAACACAATCATCAATGGTTCAAAAACTTATTTGTTATTTGGATATGGATCGGCGTATTAGAAATTTTTATTTTTTTTATTTTCTTATCCAAAAACATTCTTATTGAATTTTAATCCCGTAGTTTTTCTCACCAATTTTTTTCTCTGTTTTCTATGTTCAATTTGGCGATTGTTGTTAACATTTTGTTCTTCATCTGTTTTTGTTTTTCGTTGTTGTTTCGGTACAAAAGTCATGATACGATTCCCATTGATACCGCCACCACCACTACTACCTTGTAACAATCGGTTATTTTTATTCTCTTTTTCCACCAATTTCAATCGTTGTTCAAATGTTTGACGTTCAACTTGTTGATCATTACCATCATTATGGTGGTTTGGATTTTTATCATTCTTAGTGTGGCTATAGAGATCATCATACGTCTTACCAGATTTTAGATGATATAATTTTGTTTTCACTGTTCGTTTTTGTAGTTTATTTTTCTCCAAATCGTGTTTGTTATCATCTACATAATTATCATCATCATCATCATCATCATCAGTGTTTGAAAAATTTTTGTGTTCATTTTTTAGTTCATCTTCGTTATCTTCTTCTTCATCATTTTTTCTGCCAAACATTAAATCTTCATCCGAATCCGATGAAATACTATCATTGAGAACATCATCTTCTTCAAATATATCGGCATAGATTGGTTTGGTTTGTTCATCATCATTATCGACAATAGTTGATTTTTTTGAATCGTTTTTGGTTAATCGTGATAATACTGGATTCAAAAGACGAAATTCATCACTTGTTTCATCAATTTCGAAATTTGGATCTTCAAATAAGGCCGAGAATCGATTATCTTTCAACGGATTAGGTTTGTATTTAACAGTCTTATTTTGTTTCTTTTTCTCTTCATGTTCCTTTTCAGCTATAATTAATTTTTCCGCTAATGAACGATTCACTTTCGGCAATTCATCGGTTATCTGTACACGATCAATGCGTTCTGAGTCGATTTTTTCTTTAATTTTTTGTTTGCGATATTCTTCATAAACAAATGGCTTGGATATTTCCAAAGCTTTACGATATAACCGCATATCGATAAAAAATCCATGCATATAAGCCCGCAATAGATTTGTACCGATCAAATCGCTAAGGCCAAGTTCTTCTAATTCATTTTCGGTAACGAATTTATAATCATCATAAATGACATTCTCGGTTGATTCTTCTAATTCTTCGGTTATACGGTCCAAAAATGAACACCATTTTGGTGCAGGTCCAACAGCCGGTATGTAATAGGTTAAAATTTTTGGTGATTCATTCGCTACGAACATCATGCCCGAATCCGGATAGGCTGCTAACATGTTGAGGTCATTGTCAGCTTGAATAGCTGTGAATGGTGTACCATCATTTCGATTCCATAGTTTGATTATTTTAGAATCAAGTGTTGCAACTAGATTCAAAGGACCATCGAGAAATTCAATAGTCTTGATCGGTAGGCCATACATGTGATCTTTATTTAAGAATGGTTTATTAGCACGAATATCGTATAGTAATATCTGACCATTAGACGTTCCAACGCCCATCGTTAGACCATCGCGATATTTGATCGAAGTAATTGATGGGATTTTGCTTACTTTATTCGGATCATTTCGTAGACTTTCCAAAGCACAATCCAATGTGCCGACTCTTTCTCGAACTCGTGGGTCCCAAGCTTCGACAAAACCTTCTTGCGAGCCAACAACAATTAGATTATGTTCGGGATTTATTGATATCGCATTCAATGCCAAACAATTCGTTTCGAATGGTTTTAAAAATGTGCCCACACTCAGATTAAGCCGATATATCTCCGAACTATTGCCAACAAATAAAGCATCACATGTAGCATAATTGTAAGCAAGATCACGACCAAATTTCGGTAGGCGTGTTTTAAAATAAAATCCCGCTTGTGAATGAATTTCAATCCATCGATCAGCTTCTAATAATAATAATTTTCCATAATCTTCGGACAGAACAATGCATTTGATCACTTCAGAATCCAAACATCTTTCGAATTTCATTGCCAATTGTTCAACGTCGAAACAGCGTATCCTTGGCTTGTAAACGCCCGATGCTATAATATATTGTCCATCCGGTGAGATATTCACTGTATTGCTAACGATGGGCATATCGAAATCTTGTATCAATTGAATTCGCCGTCGAAGATCGACATTCTTCTTGAGCAGCAGACGTCTCTTTCGATCAGAAAGCCATTCAGGAATTGTTTTCCCCTGGCTAAGATTATAGGTTTTAATATCATTCACTTCGGCCACTTGCATTTCACAGGTCAGATAATGAACATTGAAAAAATAAAATGATAAAAAACAAGTAAAAAATAATTCTAAAGAAAATTTCCAAAACAAGAATCGTGAAATTTTAATAACATGTGTGAAAATGAATTTACATTTCATAAACAATGTGACCTGAATTTTAGTGATTCATTTGGCCAATAGATGTCAGGCAAATCTTTGTATTTTGTTAAAATTTTTCAGCAAATTCATCGAAATGAAAAAATATCTTGAACCGAGAACCGGTCATGATATTATTGAATTAAATTGATCAAAACAAATAACAATCCATGAATGACTCAAGTATTTAGTGAAATAGAATTGTTCTGAACTTTTGTTTATGTTTAGACAATTTTCGTCATTTATAGTATTAAAGTTGGCCATTCATAGTTACATGTTTATTTATCATATATCCACTAGAATCGAATAGTTTGAGAATGTATGATGATATAATCAAATTAATTCATCACTTTAAGTACGATTTGATATGAACATCATCGAATAACAATGAATTGAATATCATCACTTTTTTTTCGATGCCAAATCGATTCATAGTCCAAACTTTCTGTTTGATTATTTGTTTAGTAATCAAAATGGATTCGATTCCAAAAACTTTTCTCATACTCATTCACATTATAATTAATTATGGCCAATAGTTTTACATCTGTGGTCTCTTTTCATGAATTTTGATATCAAAAATAATGCCTGGCTATCTGAACAGATTGAACTGCAGTAATTTCTGGGAAAACTGAAATTTAAAAATAATCAAAACATTCACTGCTGTGATTATTTGTGTTCGAAACAAATTACAATGAAAATAGAATAATCCGACCTCAAAATGTTTTGTTTAGGTAAGTGTGTGCGTGTATGTCTATGGCATCCAAAGAATTTTTATTGTATTATTCATTTTATAGAATTTACTTCAACCTGAAACGACATACGCGCATACACATTATATTCATAATCTGATCTGGAAATTCATCATATTGCCAAAACGGTTAACCAGAAAAATACCAGAGACCAAAATTATTCTTCTGTCAAGCAAGAAGCAAACATTTCCCATTCATTCTCGTCGTATGATATATTATATAAACTTAGTCGTTTTAGTAAATTGATTCGATGTTTTTTTTTCTCTTCGTAGTCTTACTATATTCAAAGGAATTCATGAAAACACAATCATGGAATTATTTATTGCGATATTTTATTTTGTTAATTAAATGCTCCCTTTTTTTTATTTTCCATTTGTTTGATTTCGATGATATAATCATCAACATCACCATAATAAAATGATGATCAATTTCAATTCTAAATCGATTCTGATCGATTAAGAATTATTTATTCTAATCGAATCGTTTTGGATGAATCTCCAATTTCATTGTAGCATTATAAAATGGTATAGTGATGATTTTTTTTGCGATTCGATTGATGGTGACAGACAATTTTCATTCCATTCTTGCCATTATTAATTAATTCAGTGTCTATTGGTAGTTGTGTGTTTTTGCCTTTTTTTCTGGTGTTTGATAAATTTTCCAAATTTTTACCCACTATAGCCGACAATTTGCAACTATCAATTTCTATGCCAAGTAGTTTCGAATGTTTCGTATGTATATATGATGAAGGAATGAGAATTTCCATCTAATAATGACCACAAAGACGGTTATCATCCAGAATTTTCATCTAAGACAGCCAATTCTTTCACATCTAATGAATCTTAGTAAAAAAAAACTTGTCTTTTTTTCTCTTTTTCCATTCATTCATTCGAAATAAAAGAGTTATATACATATAAACGGCGACGACAATATTGTCAATATAGTAAATGTAATGAAATTGATGATTTTTTCCCTATCTCCATCATATATTTATTCGAATTATCATCATTATCAATCAGACTATTTTCATTCTAAAGCTTTGACCCATTTGAATCATGGCTGAATTTTATATCTCTCCACATGGAGAAGCAATGTTTTCCTTTTTTTTTCTGCAGTATGTTTCATTACTTGGATTAACCATAATCTTCTGATTGATTTATAGTTATTTTTTTATAACATTTTTTTTATCTTGAATCATAATCTCGATTCTTTATAATCCATGTTGTCATTGCCGTTGTTCTTTTTTTGTTTATTTTTTTTTGTAAATTCTCTTGTTTGATACGTTGGTGTGTGTGTGTGTGTGTGTGTGTATTTATACACATACGACCCATACATTCATCAGGCATTCATTTCGAATGACAACGGCACGAAAAAAATGATCATATCAATCACATAGCATCTTGATTCGTCGATTATGATGATGATGGTGATCATATTTTCATTTAATATTAGGTATAGTATATGATGTTGATGATGATCAAATACAAAATAAAGCCGAAACAAAAAAAAAAAAAATGCCAAATAAAAGTTATGTAGTTAAATCCCGTTATGTTTAAATTATTATTTTTTACAAGAGAAAAAAAATTCATCATCATTACACACACACACACACAAACACACATTATACCACCATATAACCATTATTCAGTTTCATTTATGTTTGTCAAGAAAAACTTTTTCTTTGATGAAATGAATTAAAATTCTGATGCCAAAAAGTTTTTTTTTCCAGCTTCAATCTTGATGCTTGTCATTTATCTAAATTGTAAATGTGTGTAAGATTCTTATATATTTGATTTGATTTGATATATTTAACATTCTATTTTTTTTTCATCCCCATTCAACAACATATATTTCGTTGTGTATATGGAATATGGATTTTTGTTCCGTTGTTGGCATCTCAGTATTTGCGACGAAATCATAGAATCTAATTCTGTTTATTCTCTCTTGTGTGTATGTGTGGGTGTTTTTTTTTGTTGTTGTCGAAGATATTTCAGTTTCGTTATTGTATAATCTCGATATGATCACATATTCTATCGTGAGTATGTTTAAGTTCTTTCCCGCTTGTGGTATATTTATTTATTAATCCACTTTGTCCTCTCTTCTATTTTTTTTTCTCTCCAGTCACTAAAAGTTGTCTCACGGTTCGATTGCTTTGTCTAATTTGGTTGCTTGTATCGCTCAGAATCACAATGTATATGTAGTTGCAAAAATATTCAATGAACAAAACGACTTTAGGGTTAAATCCATCCAATGAATGAATTCATAGTAATCGGATGCATGTATTTATGTACTTTGTCGTACTTTGAACAACTGAACAATGCACAACAACAACGACGACGACGACGACGACAACTATGCAATGTATTCGGAAGAATAGTAAATTATTCTTGTCATCTAATTTGATTGTGTTCATATGTATGTGTGTGTGCGATTTTAAATCATATTCTTCAAAAATTTATAATGTTAATCCATGTAACGAACATGAAATAAGAAAAAGGAGAAGAAAGAAAGCCAAACAATTCAATGTCTATGTCAATGTTAGCTTTGTATTGGCTTTGAAAATTATTATCCTTTTTGATTCAAAAAAAAATCATTTATTGGTGCGTCTTGTTTGGTTTGTATGTTCATTTCCAATTCCAAGTGCATTTGTTCCTTAGATTTTCATAATTCTTCTTGTTGCTGTTTCACTCTGTTGCAATATATATATTTCAATTAATGTACTTATTATTGTGTTTTTTTTATTATTTCAAATTCTTGTTTATTCGTTGGTAATTTGATCCAGTTATTACTAATACTACATCATCATCACTATTGTATCATTGATAACAATTCTGTGTTTGTATGTGCCAAACATTGGAAATTTTTTTTTTAATTGTAATCATATTAATAATATATTCGTGTCTGTGTCATCATCATCATCAATATTAATATTATATTGACAATAAAAAAAACAAAATTTGATGGTTCAGACTACAAATATAGACAAATCAACAAACAAACCAAATAAAAAGAACAAAAATGTTTCAACAATCATCGTCAAACGAACAGTTAGAATCGAAGTGTTCGCTTAGGCGAAGCGATTCATCACCAACATTTAAACGAAATAGTAAGTTTTTTTTTTGAATGAAACCAATGAATGATGATCATGAAACATTTAGGTAAACTGAACCATTTTCGCCTCATTGAATTTAAAGTCAATTTGTATCTACCACTTTTTCACTTATTTATGAACTAGATTTTTTTTATTGATCCAAATTGAATGAATGATTGAACTTTCCTGTTCGATGTTGATTTTGATTACGGTTGTCATTTATAATAATTTGTCCCATTAATCTGTTCACTTGTAAATTCATTTTGTTGTTGCTTAATTTTGACTTATGATTTTATTCACATGTTTTTTTTGTTGTTGTTGTTTTTGTGTGTTTATATTTTTTTTTTTATAAGCTACAAAAAACAACAGCTCGATTTTTTTATTATGTTCACTTTTGTTTATAGCCTTTATTCGCGTATATCGAATATACAAATTTCCAAATCACCCAGTCTTGAAACAGTACCTATATATGTCTATGATCATAAAGAAGAAAACCAATCAGATTGATTGCCTATGTCCGTGTATGAATATTAAAATATCTAATAAAAATAATATTTTCCAATATGGATTGCTTGTCTAAGAATTTTTGTATTTTTCTAAGGTTTCGTGTCAATAAACAAAAGAAAATAATAACAAAAAGTATTCTGTTTGAAAAACATTAACAGAATTTATCTTTAGTTTATGTTGCAAAGGATTTTGGTTACTGACACACAAACCAAATGTAATGGATCGATTTAATAAAGTATTTTTTTTTCTCATTCATTTGTTTCGATCGATGGTCACGCCAAGTCAATCATTTGATGATATCGATTTGACACACCTACGATATATAATATAATTGCAATCAAATGCAATTTGACGTTTTCGCAAGCGCATTCAATTTTTTTTCTCTCTTTTTTTTACTAATCGAAAATGAGAATCTTAAATTTATAAATAAATGTTCAAACGTCTGTCTTGGATATTAGATAAATGTCCGTTGTGGTCAACAATAACCACATGATCAACGATATAGTGTAAGAGATTAATAAAAACAATAGTAAAATAGGAATTACAATAATAAAGATTAAATGTTCGATTTGTAATGAATAGAATCGATTTTATTCATTACATTGACTAAATGGAACACAAATTCTTTTGTTTGTATTTAGTTTCAAATTATCCTGAAATCGCAACTATAAGATGCAATTATTGCAATGCAGATATTTTTTTTCCCCATGAAGTAACTATTATAAATAAGACTATTTATCAACTTTTTTTTGTATAAGACGCGTCTTATAATGGCGATTTTAGGATAAACAATTTGTGTGTGTGTGTGTGTGTGAATATATGTGTTCGAAGATGAACTTGACATTGTCATTGCAAAATTGAAATGTTTGAAAGAATCATATGAACATTATTTTTTTTTCTCTTTATGTATTCGGATTCTTCTTGTTGATTGTCTCTTTCATTAATCTCGATAGAATCATATATACACACACATCAAATCAGTAACATCATCATCGTCGTCATCATCATTCCAACTTTAAACGTTGACGTCACTTTTCACAATTACGACAGCAACAGCTATGGTTTTGTATATGAAAGAATTCAATTGTATGTGTCTCTCAATATATATATATTTGCTATCATAACAAGTTGTTTCATGATTATCATCATCATAATCATTATTCTTATTATTGATTACTTTTTCACTTGTGTCTGTCATTTTTTTTTTCTGTGACTTTCAATTATTATTTCATATCTTATGAGTGTTGTTTGTCAATTTCTTAAATATTCTCATTCAAATCATTGAATCTTCTTCATTTTTTTTTAAATTTTTTTTTCACAGAAGATGGATCACTAGATGATAAATCTGGTTCTGCTTTAACGGTAAGTTCAATTTTTATTTTTAAAACTTTTTTTCAATGATAGCCAAAAGATGGCAGTCAGATCCAATTGAATTTATGTTAGATTAGAAAAATTCTGTCCAGCTTTGAAAGAATGAATCAAAATAAAGTTGTGATGAAAAAATGTCATTTATCAATTTTATCATTTTGAAAAATGTGTATAAATGATGATTGAAAAATGGCCTTTCACCATTAACACAACAGCATAGAATAAAAAAAATAGACAAAAAGTTTAGATCTTATAAGAGATATAAGCGGTTATTTTTTGTTTCTTATATATATTAATCATTAATCGTCATTCGCGATCCAGATTCAATGATACGTAAAATTTTGGTTGTCCACGTTCGATTCTATGATTCTTTTTTTTCTATTTGCTTATATTTTTCTCACCCAAAAAAATACATTCTGCAATGATTGATTGAGTTTTTTTTCATCGAAAAATACCATGTTTAGCAGAAAAGAAAAGCAAAATAAGATCTTGATTTCAATTGTTCATTGATCTGATTTCACACAAGATATGAATTTTCTTTACTATTTTATAGTAAATATATATATAAAAAACTATCTCTCTATTGGTGTTGTTATTGTGTCCAGTTAATAGGTTAACCATGGATGGCAAAAAAAATCGATCATTTACATTGTTGTCGAACTTTAAAATTTTTTCTGGTCATTTTTTTAAAAATTGATTTCCATGCAAATGCTATATATTTTTCTATTTTTAGTTTAAATAAACTGATGATGATGATGATAGTTTAAACCAATAAAAGAAATGATTATTCTATGTGTATGTGTGCATGACTAAACCGAAAAGCGAAAAAATTGGCAAAACACACACAATTTTCAGAATAAAATGGTGATGAATTCATTTTTTTTGTTTGAAGGAGACAATTTTTTTTACCCATTCATTTCATATTTTTTTTGGTACTCTTAAAAATAAATGAATGATTTTTGATTGTCTTATGGATTCTATCCAATCATTTTTGTTTATATTTATTCAGTTTGTCTGTCAGTTTGTTTATTTGTTCATTTTCCTGATTTCCACAATAGTGAAACAGTTGATGTTTTAGAATTCAATTTCTATATGCTGATTTGTCATTTTTTTTCGTTCACATTTGAATAAGTTTATAAACAGGCACATCTAGGAAAATATCTCTGGGTTTGAGGTTTTGGCAACGTGTCGTATATCATTCAGGTAAATGAACTTTTTGATGATCAATTTTCATGATAATCATTACCATCATTGTAATCAATTGAATCATTTGTATTGATTGACTAAACAATTTATTCACTTGAAATTTGTTTCTCACTTTATTCGGCCAAATTTTTCCATTTTTTTCACACCATTTCCGCAAATGATCTGGTTTTTTTACCAACACAAAAAAATGAATGAAAAATGAAAACAGATAAAAATCGATTGAAAGATACAAAGAAAATGGCTCAATCATGAAAATACTTGATGGAGATATTCAGGAGAAAAAAAGAAGATTATTGCCAAGTGAAGCGAGAAATTTTTCTTTCAAAAAGAAATATTACTGATGAATTATAAAAAAATTCGTCTCGTTTCTTTTTGAAATTTGAATGTAGAAGAAAAAGATTTAATCATCATCATCATCATCAGCATTGAAATTTGATCTTGATTTTTTTCCTTTCAACCAAGGCAAGAATAAAAAGTCTTCCTAGTATATCATGAGCATCCGAATATTTTTATTATTTTTTTTGTCTTCTTTGTTTGTCATTCAACGATATTCGGTTGTTCTTGACAATAATAATAACAATGATGGAATGTTCTTTTCAAAATAAAAATTCTGAAATTGAAATTTAGAAAATGTTAAAATCATTCATTGGGTACCAAATTAAATTATTATTATTGTGTAAGATTTCAGTTTTCTTTTTTTGATGAACACCAATGGAAAAAAATGCAAATTTTTTTCCCCTGTTCGTCATTCAATAATATAGTTTGAAAAAAAAGATTAAAATAGAAAAAAATTTGAACAACACAGACAAAAAAAAAAAATTTGATTCCATCATCAGATATATGATAAAATTTAGTGATACTATCTGAGAATAGAATAGTATATATGAATTTGAGATAGCAAAAAAAAGAAGAGCCGGAAATTGTTGTCTAGAAACAAGCTATACTTTAAGAAATAAAAATCCCTTTTCGATTTATTTTAGAATAAATAAATTTAACAGGATGAATTGTTTTTAAATTAATACGATTATTATATACAGTGATATTTCTGTTAACGATGGTAATTCTTTCTGACCCTAAACCTATAGAACCGAGAATATATCGTTAACGGATGTACCACTATATATATGGTGGAAAAAAGTTTCGATAATGTAAAATAATCAACATTTTCAACTTTAATTATTATCAAATCACCATCATCATCATCCAAAATTATTGCTGTAAAATCTTTAGATTTAGGTACTATTCATACATTATTGATTATTATTTTTGATTCAGTTGTACTATTTCTTGCAAATATATTGATTTCATTTCCTTTTGTCGTCTTTTATCGTATCATTACTTTTCTCATTTTTTTTCAAATTCTTTGGTCTTTACTAATTTTTTTAAGCTAAATATTTTGTCTGGTTCGCTAATGTCTGAGTTTTATCATTCAAGAAACTATTTTTTTCTGTAAATAATCATCGTAATAAGGCAAAGTTGTCAAATTCAGGCTTATAAAGCAAGAACATACAAAAGAAAAATTCTTTCTTGGTGATGTTGCAAGTGCCAATTATATAAATGGCATATTTTTTTTTCTTCAGAGGGGTGTGATGTTTGATAACACATCATATCGTTGACCATCACCATCATCATTGTCGTTATCGAAAATCAATTGCACACACACACACCAAGAAAAAAAAACAATGTTCAGCCGATCAAACATCAATCAAGCAGCAGCAGCAGCAGCTACCAGAAACAAAAACTAAAACGTCATTGTTTTGAAATTTTTCTCTATTTCTCAATCTTGTTGTCCATTCGATCCTTATTTTTCTGGATTGTCGGCCGCGTCAAAATGGGTTGAGAAAAAAAGTTACCATTTTTTGTTCTTCATCCTCAATTATCTCAGTTTGTTCGTTTTCGCTCAATTTATGTCCAGTTTTTTTTTTGATCCAGAACCATAACGTGTAACTAAACATTGCTGGTTTTTGCTTGTACTTAGAACCACACATAACCGTAAACACACAGATATGGTGACCAAAATGATGGTCAAGTTGAGTTGAAACTTTGGAATAGAAAACTTTTATTTTTTTGGTTGAAAAAAGCCGTTACATTCATTATGGACAGGCGCCAAAAAAATGAAACAATTTCTTTCAAATGGTCAATCGGGTTGGTTAGTTAAAATTAAGCATTTTGATTATATGTGTTGTTTGGTGTGAATAATAATATTGAAAAAAGCAAAGAATGAATGTCAACACCAACAAAGGTGGTTTGGTTTATTTGAATTTTTCTCTGTTTAATGTTTTAGTTTTATGAGTTTTTTCTTTACTGATACCTCATATATTTGTTTGTTGAATTTATATAACATTTGAATACATTTGAACACAAACACGCACACATACATGCAAACATTAACGGTAATAAACATTGTCAACTAATTGAAAGTAGAATTTATCTGCAACATATATTTGTTTGGGTCCGAAAAATCTGTAACATTATTGCTTTGATAGTGAAAAAATAGTAAAAGATATAAAAAGTGAGAAAGAAGAAAAAAAAAGTTCAATTAGGCTGTATCTTTACTACTATACTACTATATACATTTGAACAGTGATCGTTTTTTTACGGGATATCTAGATAGATAGATAGATATCGATATCGTTATTTATGTTTAATATTTATGTAAGTGTATGCGCGATTGACATCATCATAAATAATACATACAATTTTTCATTTTGAACCAAATCGGTTGATGACAGTAATCATCATCATCATCATCATCATCACCGTTTAAACCCGTCCACCAACCATCGACCACAGACCATACACTTTTGGCGACCCGATCGATTCTAGTGTGCGCATACAACAACAAATACTTTTATTATTCTTCTTTTTTTTTGATTCTTTCTCTATTATCACCCATGAATCTATACTTGCAGAGTATGTGGAAAAATTTATTGTCCAGTTATTTTTCTTTATACAATCCTTTTTTTTGGTCATAGATTGTGACTGTATGTTGATGATGTTGATGATAATAACAGTAAACCTTTTTTTTATTTTTATTACAACCAATCAATTTCGGAGATAGGAGAATTTTTCATTTCGAAAATTTTGTGATCTGGTTCAATTTTATGTATTTCTATCCCACTTTCTGTTTATTTGTGCATAAAGTTCTGATCAGTATCCTAACGATTGTTATTCGAATATATACCATCAAGCATCTAAAACCATTACGAAATGAATTTTTTTCATTCATTATTTTTTGAGTTGTTGAGTCAATCAATTAAAATTTTGTTGGAGTTAAAAAAAAAATAAAGAATTAGTGTCATTCAAGCTTCAACTCTATTTTTTTCTGTTGTTAAAAATTCTTCACAAGTGATAATTCATAATTCGAACGAAAATTTCGAAATTAAAATTTTCCGATTTATTTGATTGGTGCATAAAACGCACTCAAATCTGGCGTGAATCATCATCATCATCATCAACGACTGCTACAAATCCCAGAGAATCATCAACTATTTCAACATTAGCGCCAACAACATCGTTGTTGGTTTCAAATCATAATTTTAATTCCGATAATAATAATAAAATTCATCAACAAACGATTAATCATAATCATCATCATCAATGTTTTGATGGCCAAAAGGCCACTTTAGCGGCACTTTTGGTGCCTTACAATCATCATCATGAAAATCAACGTGGCCAAGATGATGATGATGATAATAGTGGTCAGTATAGTGATGATTTTCAAATTCATATCGTTAATTTTTCCGTAAGTATAATTCTCTTTCGCTATCTAATTGTATATGTACAGCCAATATGTAGATGAATACCGACTAATCTTTAATTGATTTTTTCATCTCTTTCTCATTTGACGAGATCAAGACTCCGTTAGTATTTGATAGTGGTTCATTTTTTTAATTCTCATAAATTCATGACATCAGTTTTTGTTTCATATTTTTTTTCTTTTGATTCATATCGCTATATATCATTCTTATTATTTTTCTGTACCGATAACATCATCATTCATATGTTCAAATCATATATCAAAAAAAATTTGGTCATGAATCATCAAAATAAGAATATATAAGGTGTGAAATATTTATTTGCCGCTTCACCACACCTGCAAGACCTTGGTCCCTGTAATGTATAATTTTGGTTTTTTTTGTTGCTAATATTATTATTGTCATGGTGTCCATTTCATGAAGAAAAGAGAACATTCATATAATGAATAGTGGCTATGTGAACTTTTTCCGGTCATACAATAAAATAATTGATATGCTCAATGATCTATCATCATTAATGATAAAACTATTCCGATATGACCATATAACTGTACACATATACATAAATTTTTCGAATCTATGTATTCAGATGAAAGAAATTCAGTTCACATTTTCCGAACATTCCAATCAAGCTTGATTTATATAATCTCTATCTCTATACTTTTTTTCTATTATTCCAATTCATAACATATTTTTTCCTATTCGTTTTCCTATTCACTATTTTCGTTGCATGTATGTTTCGTTTTAAATATATTTACAATTACTTTTTTTTTTACTTCCATATGTTGATGAAAGAATTAATTTCTGGTTATAAATACTAGCCTGGATGAATACGGTTTCCATTAACATTTGACTTTATTCTAGCTGAATAAATCAATCATATCGGTATGAATGAATTATGATCAAGATCCCTGATAACTAGGACAAAAAAAAATTTTCTATTCCGTTACTATCCAATGTCACATTAGTAAAATAAAAAAAACGGAAATCATGCAATAGGTCAATGTAATGTCCATTGTCCAATGTGATTACGGTTTTTCATGTTTTCATAAAAAAAATGAAAAAAAATTTCTATTCAAATATGAAAAAAAGGTGTAACTTTTATAGGATTATGTCTGATCATCTGAGTTTTTTATTGGTATAAATAAAATGAAAAATGTCAAACTACATATGGTGTAATCTATGAATTATGGCCATGATGACAACTATTCAGATGGGTCAGGTATAATCTATTTTCAGGAAAAAAAATTATTAATATTTTGGTGCTTTTGAACATGTATAATGATAAATTCTTTGGCTTATTTTTTTTTATTTCGTTTCTTTGTTTTTGATTTTGTTTGTATAGATTTAATTAATATATAATAATGAAACATTGAAGTGTTGTAGTTATGTTATCGATGCATTTCTTTTTGTAAATTTTATTCTTTCAAATAACGGTTAGTTCAATTAGTTTTTTGTAATTCTATATAATTTGTTTCTGTCATGAATCATTAATCTTATAGTTAACATGATTTTTATGAATATGAAAATGTCTCTTTCCCTTTCATATAAATACAAATAACTGGATTAAAATCTCTTTGCAGCAATGTCAGTATGTGAAAAAATTTTGATTAAAAGATTGATGACTAGCCATAAAGTATCCAATATTCAATAATTGATTACTATGGAGATTTTTTCATACAACGATTCTGGGTTAACGATAATAGCATTTAGCATTGTCAGCAAATAATATTCTATGGATGTTTTATTATCCGTTACTCTAATGACGATGATCAAATCACAAACAAGAACAAAAAAGATATTGCTGTAAAGAAGCAAAAATTTTTTCGACCTTATTTTTCTCATCATTATCAAAAGAGGTGTGAAATCAAACGAATGTGAAACTTGTTTATATGTAAAATTTTCTATCAATTTATAATGGTGACATTGATGAATAAAAAAAAGCAAATAATGGTGTGAACATACAGAAAACAATGGTTGACATTTGTATTTTTATTTTTATTTTTCACACCCACTTTGATCTCTTGTATAGTTCTGATGATCTCTTATTGCTTAGCATTATCGTTTTTTTTGTTGACATTTTCCTAGTTAATTCAGTTGAACTTGATAATGGATCGATGGAAGAAAAAACGCCCAATAAATAATTGAACATTTTGACCTGGAATTTATTGATCCATAATGATTAATCTGTACCATTTTTTTTCTTTCAGGAATCATTGTCATCATCATCAATTATTAGTACAGGAGGTAATCAACATCATTCAAAAGAACAACAACAACAACAACAACAACGACCTGAATCCAATGAAATCACTGTTCATTCAAATGCTGGTAGTAAATTAACTAGATCTGGATCAAATCAAAATAATTCCAATCATAGTAAAACACGACATTTATTTCGTCGTTCAATAGCTGAAAATGATATTGCAATGAATGAATTAAATCATAATATACCTGTAACACTTTCACTGCAAATAAAGCAATCATCGCCTTCATCATCATCATCATCACATAAAACAAATACAGCGACAACAACAACAACAGCAAGAAATTCTCGTGCCATTATACCACATATTCCGAATGGTCCTCCAATACCTTATCGTCGTGTTCCGTTACGACATCAAAGTAGTTTGAATAATGATGATGATAAAAATCAACAACAACAACAACAACAACACCAACATGAAATTCTTAAAAAATCTTCATCATCAACATCAACTTCATCATCTGTTTATCAAACACAACAACAACAATCTTCAAGTGGTCGTAAGTAGTAGTAAAATTATTTTGTTTTTGTTCATTTTTTACAATGCGTACATGATGCTTGAAAGTGTTTTACACACACACACACACACACACACAAAATTTCATTTTTGTTTCGTTTCGATACTTGAAAATCAAAATTGATGATTCTATTATTATAGATATAATAGGCGTATGTAAAAAAAAAATCTGATCTGTATGAAATTTTTCAGTCTGGTAAATAGAATAATGATATAAATATATCAATGACTGATGATGTCTGTTTTATTTTTTTTTCTGATCTGATTCTTGAATATGTGAAATTTATTTCATTTGGCAACATTATAATTAAAAACGGATGTAATGAACATCATTATACTGAAAGTTGATCTTATAATTTACTGAAAACAACAACAACAACCACATGGGTGATTGCTATACGATCAATGACGCGATATAACAAACTTATAACATAACCACGTATCTGAAACTAAACAAAGAAAAAAAATAACGGAAAAACAACAACCCTGTTTATTAAGGACAAGGAACTATAGTTGAGATGTATGTTGTTTTGATTATTTTTTTGTTGATGTTTTCTAAGAATCAAAAGATTTGCGGGTTAAGATTCTTTCACACAATGAACTCATTTCGGTTTCACTTTTTATTTCATGTTTTTTTTGCTATGGATTTTCAGTAATGATTATCCACAGCGAAGAACAACAATCAGCAACTACAGGCCATATGGAGAATTGAATAAGCTACCGGATGGACGTCATTATAATTTTGGGTGGTTAAAAATTTTTTTTTTTTTCATTCACTCATTTCCAATTTTAAAGCTAACAAAATTAAAATAATGATGATGATGATGATGAGTATGTGAAGCTGATCACATTCTCTCTCTCTCTATCTCTTTATGTAAATGTGTGTGTGGATGATTACAAAAAGAAGAAATTATAATTTTTTCAAAAATTGTTTCCGCTGCTATGATTTTTTTTTTGAAGGATATTTTTTTTCATTGCGCTTTTTTAATTGTTAGTTCATATATTATATACTCGATGATTATCGTGATTACAACGCAACGTCATTTTGTTTTTGTTTTTCGGTGTTACACCAACAATCCCTATATTTATGATATTCATTCATTCATTCATTCACTCAATTTAAATTGATTGTTTTTTTTGTTAGTGTTTGTATCTAGTTTTCATTTTCATTGTTATTATTATGTGATTATTGAAAAAATCTAAATGACCATGCTTTTTACCAACATGAATGGTCAAACTTGTTTGATACCAAAGGTCAATATAACGGAATTTATTGATGATAATAATAATATTGATGATATTGATAATGTTAATCTTGATGATGATCATAATATTGTTGTACGACGTCATCATCATCATCATCATCATCATCATCATCATCATCATCGTCGTCGTCGTCGTTGTACAAAAAAATCATCACAAAATCGTCATTCATTATTCACATTTTCATCCGTACATGTTCCCGGTTCGTCATTTATACGACGTTCACTAAGCCCGTTTAGATGGCGCCGTAGTTCACAAATAGTGATGATCGATCCAAATGAATCAAAATATCATGATGATATTCTGGATTCGGATTCCACATCATCATCATCATCAGAATCTGATTCCGAATCTACATGTTCATTTGAATCATGTTCATCATGTGCAATGAGTAAGTAAAGAGATCTAGACATTTAGTAATGATTTTTTTTTGGTTATTTCTTTTTTGTCTTCTTGTCGTTAAAAAAAAGAAATCGATTCAAGTTTTTTTTGCATTTTCATGTTATTTTTTTCCGGTACCATGTTTTGTCGTTAATGGTAATAATCATAATATAATGTTATATACTAAAAACACACAACATGAATTAGATGGTGGATGAAAGCAAAGAATTTTCAAACAATTTTCAAAAAATCATTTGTATCGTTGACATTTAGAAATTTTTTTTTCGGTTTCAACATACTATTCACGATGATGATTACGAGAAATAATAGAATAGTTATAGTACAAGTTACGAACTTTTCATTTTGACAAACTTAAGACGACTGCTAAACAAATGTCATTTGAAATTAATCTTAATTTATATATTGCTTAATAATAATGATGTTTGAATACCAAATATTATTTGAATTGATTGATTGAATGAATGAATCTATTATATATTAAATAAATAGATATCAGAACCTTTTGGGTTATGTATTTCCAACATTATTATTATTATTATTATTCGTGCGTGCATTCGACATTGAACATCGTCGTCATCATCATTACCATCATCATCATCATTGATGTTAATGTTCAATGTTGTTTCAACTTTTCAATCAAATCTAATTGACACATTATTGGATTTTTTCATTTTTTTTGAGCCATTCATATTTATCCCAATAATAATAATGACGATGTTGATGATGTTAAGAGAAAAAAAACCGATTGGATTTCCGTTTTCACTATTTTAGTTGAATTTATAATAATACAGTAATACACAGTAATTTTAGATTGGCTATTCAATGTCTTTTTGTGTGTTTGTATGTCTGTTGTGTCGGTTTTGTTGATCTTGGTGGATGAAGCTGTTGTTGTTGTTGTTGTTGTTTTATTTTTACATTGATCCGAACTTGTTTCCTATTTGATCAATGTGGATCAATATATAATAATCAATAATAAACATCCCGTTTATAATTATATTTCTATGTGTGTGTGTAATCATGTCTTTTTTATTATATGAAATTTATTTTTCCATTGATTAATCACATGTACAAGTTTTATTTCATAAAAATCTCATAAACCATCATCATTCATTCCTATTATGTACACCTGTCTTTGAATCAGCAAGAAATTTTTTTTTCTATATTAAATTCTGTTTTTTCCATTTAAATCAAAACCCTCATTGGTGACCGTGTGTGACCAACGAATGGGTGCTGTTTTTCTCTCTTTTTTTGTTGTTGTTAAGGTGATTGTTTGTACTTATTATTATAAATAAATGATTTTTTTTTGTTCATCTGACTGATTGTTGCATATCTCGAGATTGTATGGAAATCCAATTCTCATTTTTTTTGTTTATTTGTTTGATTTATTCTCTGATGATTGAGATGGCAATTATGGTTTACGCACACACACACACACACACACACATACACAAACCACTTCTATGGTAACAACATTAATAATAACAACAATGGCTATACATTGGTATTATTTACAACCACACACTTGTGCATAAAAAGAATTTTTCCATATTTCAATGTCGATGATGATGTATCGATAATAATGTGTTATGATTGAATTTTTTTTATATTTATTAAATAATATTTGATTTCAGTTTCATCGTCATCATCCTTTTTTCCTGATGTTTGCGTGTGTGTGTGTGTGTAATATGTATTTGTCACATTTATTAATTGAGGATTCCTGTACTCTTAAAAAATATGAGTATGTTTCATATGTGACCAAATCTTATCTGTTCCATACATGATTTATGATATTCAATAATGAAAACAATAATAAAGATGACGATTATATTATGGCATAAAAGAATTATATCAATGCATCAATAATTTTTTTGTTTTGTTTCCATTTATAATGCTGCATTGACGAAAACACGATCGAATAATATCGATCAATTGCCATTGATGATCATCATTATAATATAATCTTATATTTGTTGATTTTGGTTTGGATTCATCTATTCGGCTTTTGTCAATTTTTCATCTTTTTTCATCTTGTATTCCTCCTTTTTGTGTTCACTCATTTCATTCAATCATCACAAATGTTTTCTCCGGTTGTGAACAATTTTATAAGCGAACAAGCTGCCGTCGTTGCATCGAATAATATACATGGAATGCCATCATCATATTCATATCATTTTCGTCCTAATATCTCATCATCATCATCTTCGTCGTCCTCATTTTTGGCAACATGTCGACGAAGAAGTCAAGACATTACCGGGCAAATCAAACATCTTATTCAATTACCTACATCATCATCATCATCAGTAAAATTTTCATCCGGATCTCGTCGGCCTAGTCTGCCAGCAATCTTGTTATCAATCCGTAAGGAATTCTTTATGAATTTAGAGTGTATTTACGAAAAGAGAAAGAATTATTACACTATTATGCATTAAGTTGTTTTTTTTTGATCGAATGATAAGAAAATATCGATATTCTTATGATATGGTTTCAATCGTTTTTGAGAAAATTTTTTTCCCGAAAAACATAAATTCTTTCTACAACATTCACAGCTGACATTTTTTTTCACTTTTTCAACATTGTCAGCATCATTTTCTTTGATCGTCACAATTTTTTTCTCTTTAAATTTATATATGTTTGAAAATGTTGTTTTTGCCAGAAGCACATTGATTACATTACAAGGAATAATAATGTCTACAATATTGCATTCGACATCATCATTTATTGATTGATGGATATTTTTGGTTAGATTTTCATTTTTCGTTTCCCAAAATAAAGTAACAAACATTCCGTTATTTTTAATTTAATATCTCAGCAATGATTTTTTTCATATTTGCCATGGAAATCCAATTTTTATTTTGTTCGGAAAAAAATATTTCTTGTATCGATATATAATAATATATATAGTGAAACTAACAATGTTTATTTTGTGTTTGTAGATTTTTTTTTGTTATTAATCCTTTATATATTTATCCGATCCGATGTATTGATTTTTTCTGCTGGTTGCCCGACATTGGCAACTATGGCAATCGATTGGTTTGGATCTGATTTTTTAATATATCACATCATAATACATATATCAAACAAGTAAATAAATGAAGAAAATGTTGTTGTTTTTTTTGTTGAATAACCAAAGTTTTTAAATTAATCAAAATTTGAATTTTGTCATTGAATATACAATGACAATTTCCCAATTATTATTATTATTATTATATAATGTCAATTATCTGAAGGCTATCGATCCTATTTCAAAACAAATCGATATGTTGTCTATCTATTTATTACACAAGATAATTATTATTATTATTTTATATAAATATAGAATTTGAATATTATTCTTGTTAAACATGCAAATCTAATCTATTTCGTTTATTTGACTAAAAATATCCATATGAACAACAAAGCGTAACGCACCCATTTTTCTTTTTCTTTTTTTTTGACTCATCATTCATCATCATGGCGCTTAGCTTATATTTGTTTTTATTTAGAATATACCATAAAATCGCGACTACAAGACGCAATATTAGAATATAATACGCAGGCATTTTTTCCATAAGGTAAAAGACTATTTTTCAACATTTTTTTGTATAAGATTCGTCTTATGGTCGCGATTTTACGGTAATAATAATTGTAACAAATTCTTATGACAATGACAACAGTTATGTTGATAATGATGATGATGATGATCATGTTTATATATCTATTGTCATCATTTAATGATTGGGGTCCACATGTCGTCCTTCAAATCGAGTGTGTCTGTGTATAAGATTCAATATTTTCCCCATCTATTGTTCTGGTGAATGTTTAGGTGTGTGTTTTGTGTGTATGTCATTTGTTGTTGTTTTGGTCCGCGCCATTTATAATATTATTATTTAGAATGATTATGAAATGTTTTTTTTTTCATTCATTTCAATTTTTTTTCATATAAAAATAAAATCGCCCAATGAATTTTTCCAATGAATTGTTATATATGCAAAGTTTGTTTGTGTTCTGATAAATAATCTCGATCTTCAATCTATTTTTAGATAGAATATACTCATTATAATTTGCATATCTTGTCTTTATATTCAATATTTTTCGTTGTTGTTGTTGTTGTTATTTCTTGTTTATTTCATCATCGTCATCATCATCATTATTGTCTTGTCAAGAAAAAGTAGAAAAATTAAATAATTTATCGATTTTTTTTATTCTGGTTGCCTGATATGCGCGCCATCTTATGGTCATTTCATTTTGATATGAATTTATTAATTTGCTGAATCCAGCCATCATCAGAATAAATTATTTTCCATTCTTAAATTGAACGGGCTATGATTACTAATCATTTATTATTATTATTTTTGGTCTTCATTGCTTGGATTTTTTTTCAATGTCCCATAAAGCTAACTTTAACTAAAGGACTTAATTTAGCATCTTTTCATTGCCTCAAGGTTGTTCATATCGAGATCCGATCATTTCAAACATTTGAAAAAAGATAAAAACAGTTTATTTCTACTCAACATTTTTTATTCCATAAACAATATATATATAAAACACCAATATGAACAATTTTTGTCGATGAAATCGGATCCAGAAATCGATATTTCCATTTTCTTTTCATATTCATGTAGAACGCAAAGATGATTTTTAAAAGAATTATGATCATCTTGTGTAGATAATCGGAAAGGTGGAAAAAATTTATATCTTTCTACGTTTCGAAAAAATTAATGATCAATGCTGGCAGAGGATTGAAATGTATTTCGATACACATTTCCATTCCTAAGAATCGTTTAGTTCTTTTGATACGGAACTGGAAGAAAATTTTCTTTCGATTATTGTCTCTACTTGGTTGGACTGGACCAGAATGAAAAGTCCGATATTCCATTCTCCTCAAAGTAAATGACATTTTATCAGCTCTATAATTCTGAGCATGTTCAAAATCATCACCAACACATTATCATCGGTAGCTACCCTCACATTTTCGAGTTGATGTTCATAATGACACCTCAACGTTCCTTGAACGTCATCTTGGTGCTGGCAAAGTGGCAAAAACAACACATTTGGCAGGCCATCACCTTGTGAAATATTTCTTCCATTACAGTTTCATATCGAGATCCGATCAATTGTCGGATCGGTTTGCTTGGTTAAATTCATCACTTTGAATTGAGTTACCTAGTTATTTGTGCTGTAAATTATTTGTTTAGGTTAGAGGGTTGAAGTAAATGGAAAAAACATTACAAACAACATATCATCCGGAAGAATTAACAATTAACCATCAAAAAAGATAAAAACAGTTTATTTCTACTCAACATTTTTTATTCCATAAACAATATATATATAAAACACCAATATGAACAATTCTTTGTCGATGAAAGAAATCGATATTTCCATTTTCTTTCATATTCATGTAGAACGCAAAGATGATTTTTAAAAAAAGAATTATGATCATCTTGTGTAGATAATCGGAAAGGTGGAAAAAAATTTGTATCTTTCACGTTTCGAAAAATTAATGATCATCATCTCTTCATTTCGAAACAGGTGTTGGAGGGGTTATAAATTGTCTGATTATTGCTATAACATGGTATATATATCCCAGAACAAGGAAAAGAATCCCTATTTTACTTTTAACCTAAATTCAGTTTATATAATCAATTGGATGAATGAAACATTTATATAATACTTTACTCATAAAATTAAACAAACAATTATTTGGTTTTTAAAATGAAAATGTGGTCATAATATCAATGGATTTTCAAAAAAAAAAAACACAAACACACACGTTTCTATTGATATCATCAAATGAAAAAAAACCATCTAAGAAATAGCAAGTAGACATTTTGATTTTACGAGTGGATAGAAAGATCTTTTTGCTTTTTCAAAGATTGATTACAACAATTTACATTGTTGTTTCAATGTTTTTTTTTCACCCTTAATAATGGGAAAAAAATATTTTTTTTTATCCAAACACAAACACTCATTTCAAACTTATGAATCGTGACCACTAAATTTTTTTTTCTTTAGAATACCCGCTACCAGAAAAAAATGTTGATAATAATAAATAAATAAATGAATATAAATCGATCATGAATTTGAAAATAACGGTACCTAATGAACACATATGAATATTGCTTATTCGTTTCAATGTATAGCCTCATTTCCTTGTTGACCTCAAAACACGCAAAAAAAAAAACGTCAAACAAAAATGTGGAATTTCCTGTATCGTGTTTTATGGTTAATTCATCATCAGTGATATCATTGAATTTTTTTTTTTTTGATCAATCGGTTTTGTTATTTGGATTTCAATTATGGTCATCCAATCATTGATAAAATTTTTTTTTTGTTTTGATCATCATTTATCAATCAGTTGATCAGTCAATCATTAGATTGAATTTTATCTTTTCTTTTATTTTTTTGTTGTTGTCTTGGATCAAAAGATCTAATGAAAAAAAATGATATCGGTTTAAATCAGAGTTTCAATCATCATTCTTACAATGATTAATGTAATAATTATTTTGGGTTCAAATTTAAGAATGACAATATAAATCCGAAATATAAAAAAAATGTTTGCTAATAAAAAAAAAATCACCAACATGATGAACACATATTTTTTTTTTACTTTGGTTAAGATTTGCTGTAAAATAAAAAAATAAAATTGGATATTTTAGAATGGTTTAATGAAAAGAAAAAAGAAAAATCAAGTAGGAAGCAATCTCTTGAAATCCATTTGTATGTGAAAGGATTTAGCAGCATTTGTTTTGTCCAAATTTAGCCCGAATTTTTTTCGTTGTTGTTGTTGTTGTGTGTAACAACTGAAACTATCCACGTTTTTCATCATTCTTGGTAGAAAAAAAATGAAAGTTTTTGTTTCGATAAGATTTTTTTTTCTTTGCTTCATGTTATTCAACAATATCAATGTCTGAATGATTATTATAATTATTATAAAATAATATTTGGGTTTATTATCAATTCAATAAGTTATATTTTGTTTTGAGAGAAAGTATTCTATTGTATAACTTGGCCCATCAAACACTGCCGTTTCCGTTTTCTATTCTTCTTCTTGTAAATATTTATTTTTCTTAGTAGAGCATAAGAAAAAAATTCTTTACATTTATTCTTTTCATGTTTATTTGTCTATCTGTCTGTCTATTTGTCTGTCTGTTTGTTTGTTTATATATTTTTCATTTAAAAACACAAACTTTTCATTGAAAACGGAATTTTCAATAAGAATTCTTTGTTAAAAATGAAAAAAAACCTAGCTATATTATCATGATGATGATGATGATAACGATCATCGTGATGCTTTGCTTTACTTTGCTTAGGTTGTTTGTTTATTTTTATTTTTTCAAAATTTTACTCAATGAAAAAAATATGCATGATGATGGTAAAGA